AAGCCATAATAATTAAAACAGTTTGGTATTGGAACAAAAACAGACACACAGACCAATGGACTGAATAGAGAACCCTGAAATAAAGCTGCACTTATATGAACAACTAATCTTTGACAAAGGAGCAAAGAATATGCAGTGGAACATGGACAGCTTGTTCAATAAATGGTGTTGGGAAAACTGGACCTCCACATGCAAAAAAAAAAAAAAAAAAAAAAAAAACTAGACCACTACCTCTCACCGTGTACAAAATTCAACTCAAAATGGATAAAAGAACTGGACATAAGACCTGAAACCATAAAATATATAGAAGAAAATATAGTTAAAACACTATAAGATATACATCTCAAAACATCTTTAGGGCCTCCCCGGTGGCGCAGTGGTTGAGCGCTGGGTTGCGAAGCTGCCCGCAGCCTCCGCGGCTCCGGTTCGATCCCCGGCTGCTCCCCGGCCACTGGAGGAGGGTCCCACATGGCGTGCAGACCTCTCCTGCCGCCTGCTGCTCCCCTCAGCAGTGTACTTCGGTCCTTCTGCCTGCTCTGCTCCCCGCTCTGGCTCTGGTGAATTCTCTCACCCTCCCGCGCTTCTGACTGTACCCAGTGCATGTATAAACAAAAACAAACAAAACAAAAACAAACAAATAAATAAATAAAAAACATGCCTCTATAAAAAATAAAAAAAACATCTTTAAAGACTCATCACCCAAAGCAGTGATAGTGAAGGCAAAGATAAACACCTGGGATTACATCAAACTGAAAAGCTTCTGCACAGCAAAAGAAACATTAACCAAAACAGAGAGACACCCCACTGATTGGGAAAAAATCTTTGCACTACATCCAACTGATAAGGGACAGATCACAATGATATACAAAGAACTCACATGGCTCAACAAAAACAAAATAAACAATCCGGTCAAGAAATGGGCAGAAGAACTCAAAAGACATTTCTCCAAAGTGGAAATGCAAATGGCCAACAGGCATATGAAAAAATGTTCAACATCCCTTATCATCAGGGAAATGCAAATCAAAACCACACTGAGATACCACCTTACACCAGTAAGAATGGCACATATCAAAAAAACAAGCAACAACAAATGTTGGCGAGGATGCGATGAAAAAGGAACTCTCCTACATTGCTGGTGGGAGTGCAAACTGGTCCAACCATTGTGGAAAGCTGTCTGGAGGTTCCTCAGTCTACTAAAAATGGAGCTACCATACGATCTGGCAATTCCACTCCTAGGGATCTACCCAAAGGACACAAAAACAGTGATTCAAAAGAGCACCTGTACACCTATGTTTATTGCAGCACTATTTACAGTAGGTAAAACCTGGAAACAACCCAAATGTCCAAAAATAGATGACTGGATCAAGAAGATGTGGTATATATACACAATGGAATATTATTCAGCAATCAAAAAGATATGTCATTCCTTCTAGCTTCTGGATGGAGCTAAAAGGAATTATGCTTAGTGAAATAAGCCAGAAGGAAAAAGAAAAATACCGGATGGTTTCACTTATAACAGGAATATAGGGGAACCAAATAAGACATCGGTGTAAAAAAATAATAATAACAGTACAAAACACAACAAAGCAAAAACAGACAATTGTAAACCAGAGACATCCTGCAGGGGAGGAGGAAGAGGGGTGAGGGGGAGGGAGGGAGGAGCACAGGGGACTGTGGTGATGGTGCATGGGTGAATCTCCTTGGGGAAGGAGATTCTATGGGGACTCAATCTGAGGGGGTGGGGGAAGCAAATATTGTCTAAAAAAATGTAAAAAATGATAAATGTTAAAAGAAAAAAAAAAACTGGGGTACAGGCCAGAGTGTGAGAGGATTCACCAGAGAGCGGGGAACAGAACAGGCAGACGGACAGACCAAAGACACTGTTGAGGGGAGCAGCAGGCGAGACAGGAGAGGTCTGCTGCACCATGTGGGTTGCTCTCTGGCCAGCCGGGAATCAAACCCACAGAGGCTGCAGACAGCTCCACAGCGCTGCGCTCAACGTGCTGCACCCTGGCTCATTTGTTCTTCTCCACTATGGGTCTGAGAATGAGCTGGACAAGCACTGGCCTCTGTCTCCCCGGACGTTGTGGCCTCAGAGGGGCCAGCCTCTTCCTCCCCCCCCCTCATTTTCTCCCTTGATCCTGGATGCTAAAGTTGGGGAAGCAGTGTGAGCCTTGAAGAACTTGGCAGAAGGCAGACCTGAGGGGAATTCCAGCTCGGCCATTGTGCTATGTGATCTTGGAGATGGGACTCACCCTCTCTGGCCCTTGGCACCTGATTTTAAAATGGGAATGAGTGCATCTCATAGGGGAAAGGGGATACCACGATGCTCTCCAAGGCCCAGTGAGGCCTTTCCGGGCTGAAGGGGCTGGAGGCTCAGCAAACTGGAAGCTAGACTGTTCTCTTATTTCAGAACATCCTTGTGCCCCCCCCCCCAAAGAAACGACCCCTGGGTGTCTCTGAACCCACTGTTTCTTGTTAATTGAGCACCAACTGCATCATACTAGTGCTGGGGCACAAAGGTTGGGATCTTAGTAAGAATGAAGTGTTTGTGCTAGCCTAACTCATTCTTTCCCAAAAAAGTGGCCAAACAGGGCCTCCCTGGTGGTGCAAGGAGTAAGACTCAGCACTGTGAAGCTATCCACAGCTGCTGCAGCACGGGCTCAATCCCTGGCCAGGGAGGTATCCACATGGCACAGCAGTTGTCTCCTTGGCTCGCCTGCTGCTCCCCTCAGCAGTGTATTTCAGTCCGTCTGCCTCTTCTGTTCCCCACTCTGTCTTTGGTGAATCCTCTCACACCCCACATCTCTGGCCTGCACCCCAGCTTCTTGTATGCATAAATCTTTAAAAAAAAAAAAGTGGCCAAACTCTAATTGTTTATTATTTTATGGCCTGTGGATGGACCCAAGGGGCCTAGTTCGTGTTCAAGATAAGCGAAGCCTGGCCACTTTAAGCACTGTCCTGGCTGCCTACCAGAGCGGCCTTTAGATTGGTGCCCTCTCCTCGTAGGGAATTAGGGGGGATTAGCTGGGCTTCCCCCACAAGTGGGCTTCAGGCGCAGCTGTCTCGTGTCCACTCTGTGCTCCTCAGGGTTGTCTCCAAGACACCTGGAGCTCAGCATTGCCATGTGAAACTCCACTCTTGCCCAAATTCTGTTCCCTGAGGTTCCCAGCCCAGCAGTTGGCTCCAGAAAGGATTGCAGCGGTCAGCTTCATACCTCCACCCACCCTCATGCCTCATTCAGAGTGGGTCCTGCCTGCTCCAGAGTGCCCTTTCCTGCCTCCCTCCCCACCATCTGTCCCTCCTGCTCCCAGGCCATGTACCGTCTCTGTCCCAGCTGGTCTCCCTGTTGCACAGCAGCCCCAGGGAACCCATGGAAGTACAGGCCTGACCGATCCACTGCACTAGGATCAAGTGTAAGAACCTCACCGTGTCTCCAGGAACCCGCCTAACCAGCCCTGGGACCTTAATCTGTTCCTCACGCCCTCAGTCCTTCCCACTCAGGCCTTTGCACGTACTCTCCACAGCGCTCTCTCTCCTTCTTTGCCAGGATAGCCTCATCTTCCTTCAAACCTCAACTTCCTTCAAACCTCCCATCTCCTCAGAGAAGTTTCCCAGCCTGTTCTCCCCCTAGTTTGTCCTTGTGTTTGTGGCACTCCACAGGTTGCTGTTGAAGTAAAACAGTCACGCGTTGCCATGTCCGTCAAGGCTGGAGCACATGTATGAGGTGGTTCCAACAGCCAGGACCACACAGCCTGTGTGTGCCACAGGCCACATCATCTAGGATTGTGTGATTATACTCTGTGACCTTCTCACGATAGCAAAATCATCTAATGACCCTGTCTCAGAACGCATCCCCGTAGTTAAAGCTGGCAGTGACAGCTGCTGTAAGGGTTGATTTAGGAGGCCAGTGGTATCTGTAAGCTTAATGAAGGCAGACATCACTTCTGGGTAGTTTCTCACTGTCTCCAGAACCTGGAAGGTGCAGGTACTAAAGGTATTTGTTGCGTAAGTGGATGCACCTAACAGATCCCAATGGGGCACAAAGTTGGGGCTGTCCCAAACTATCGCTGTGAGATCAACAATGACCCACCCCCTGAAGATGTCCACTTCCTTGTCTGTGAAACCCCTGTTACCTTATGTGCAAAAGTAATTTTACAAATGTGATGACGTCAGGGGTCTTGAGATGGGGAGATGCTCCTGGGTTATCCAGGTGGACGGGATGCAGTCAGTCCTGAGGGCCCTTATGAGAGGCAGGCAGGGTGTCAGAGAAAAGAGAAGGTATGTGCTGCTGACTCTGAAGGTGGAGGAAGGGACGATGAGCCGGGGCAACCTCTAGAAGCTGAAAAAGACAGGAAAACTGATTCTCCCTTAGAGCTTCTAGAAGCTAGCCCTGCAGACCCAGAAATATAAGGTAATAAATGTGTGTGTTTGGAGCTGTTAACTTTGTGCTGACTGTTACAGCAGCTACAGGAAACGAGTACAGTAAGTTAGTCGTGTTTCACAACTGCTGTCCATCCCTGGATTTTGTGAGAGCTGGGACCCTGGGGGTGAGCACAGGGAATTCCCAACCTCCCAGCTGGGTGAGAGGGAGGATGATCGAGAGGAGGGAGGAAGCTACCCGGTGCCTGTGGGTGCCATACCCCAATCCTTAATAAAGCCACTCTTCTCACCGGGGTGTTCTGGCCACCCGGTCAGCAGATGGGTCCACAGAGGTGATGATGTTCCCTGCCAGAATTCACATAGAAATGGCAGAGCCAGGATTTGAACTTGCATCTGGCTCTGAAACCGGTGCTCTCACCACCACCTCCCTTCTTCAAAGTAGTAAGGCAGGCGATTGGAGAGCACTGTTGAATGGTGACCCCACACCTGGGTAGGTGCAGGCCTCTTCCAGAGGGGAGTCTAGGTTCTCCGAGCTGCTGTCACCACATGACATGGCCTTTGACTGTCCAGGATGGGCACCCCCTCTCAACCAAGGCTTCTGTACTTCTCTCCCACAGTGTGAACGAGCTCTATGTCGATGACCCAGACAAGGACAGCGGGGGCAAAATTGACGTCAGCCTGAATATCAGTTTACCCAATTTGCACTGTGAGCGTGAGTATCCCCAACAGCCCTCTGCTCTGGCAAGGTGCTCTGGTAGGCAGAGCTGGTGTGTAGAAACAGCCAGACACCCAGAACAAGTTCCATGAACAGGGCAAGTTATAAACAACAGATAGTTTAACGATCTCCCGCTCTTTTCTTTTTCTTTTTTTTTTTTTTTTTTTTTTTGGTGGGGGGAGTATGTAATCATTTTAAGGAGAATTGGAGGTTTTCTGAAGTAAAAAACATAAGAAACTACCAAATAAGAGTGACCTGTGAGGCATAGCTATGTTGTGGGGGCTGGGGTGAGGGGGTGCAATGGAGTGTCCTAGCTCAAATTCCCAAGAAGTAGAACCTGAAATTCTTAGCTAGTAGATTTTTTGAGGGAGGGCTCCCCGGGGGGAGCTTGGAAGGCGAGAGGGAGGCCAGAGGATGGCAGAGGGCTTGAGCTGGAACCTTAGTTGAGCCTGCCCCTCAAAGTTGGGATCTTAGTGGAGTTGTGTCATGTGAGTGACTCTGTAGTTTGTCCTACCTGGACATGATTATCCAGAGCCTTAACTAATAGCCTCAGGAAGGTGAGGGGAGACATGGGGCTACCACCTCCCAAACATCGCAAAGCAAGGCACCTCCAACCAGCTGAGGGTCACCACCTATAGAAGGATGCTGTCTTGAGCTGTTAGCAGCCAACATGAACAGAAGCCAGGGTGTGGAGCACCATCAGTGAAAAGGTTAGGGGCAAGGCATCTGTGACCATGGAGAGTTGGGAAACTTCCTTTTTACTTCATATTCCTTATTTTTTATTTGTTTCAAAGAGGAATGAATTACTCATATAAAACAAAACTCCTTGGAAGTCTGATTTGGAGTCAGATTCAGGCTCCTTTGCTCACTAAGACTGGCTAAGGTCACCTCTTGGAGCCTCAGTTTCCCATCTGTGAAGTGAACTTGGTGCTATATCTTGTTAGGAGGACTTGATGAGCCGGTTCCCAGAGTTAGCAAGTGGACTGGTGTCACCTCCTGGCCTGGGGTTCTAGTCACCCTGTGCCCCTGCCTGGCAGATGTAGACCCTTCCCCTCACCCCACCCTCTCCCTGCCTACTACAGGGCCTAGCCAAGAGCAGGACATTGGGTGGGTCTGCAACCAGAGATAGAAGCCATTTGACTCCGTTGTTGCTTTTGGTGAGAATTACATCACAAATTTGAGTCCACAGTGTGCCCAACGCCAGGGAACCTGTTGAAATAAGCAGGTTTTATTTTTTATTTTTTCTCTTTCTCTTAGAAAAATAACTAATCTGGCAGTTTTTCTCTCATTCAGGAGTTGGTCTTGTGTCTGGAACAAGGACATTCTTAGTCATGCCAGAGGACTGGGACCATTGGGGCTGGGGAGGGAAGGGATGTGGTTCCCGGCTCTGTCCCAGTGCTGGGCGGTGGCCCAGGAGGGGCCAGGCCACTTCAAGCTGCCTAGTGTGTAGGCCCACCATGCCTGCCACCCTGGGGGCGGTGACCTGAACCCGGCAGCTCCCACTTTTAAAAGCATCTGGCTCTTCTTTAAAAGAACTTCAAATTTTTATTATAGGGGCAAAAGTCCATGCTCATCATGGCACCTCAGGAAAATCCAGAGAAGCAGAGAGAGAACTTGTCCATATTCCATGTCGCCCCACCCCCATGACAGCATCAGTGACATTAGTCACTATTCTGTCCTGTTGGCCTTCCTTTCTTGGTATTTCTGAACATGGCTGAGATCATGTTGTGCATATAATCTCATCTCTTGCTTTTAAAAATATATCTATTTTTTTGGTTACACAACTCATACAGGGATGCATTTTCTATTTTAAAAAATACTTGTTCAAAATATAGAGGCTGGGCCTCCCCGGTGGCGCAGCGGTTGAGCGCTGGGTTGCGAAGCTGCCCGCAGCCTCTGCAGTGCCGGTTGGATCCCCAGCTGCTCCCCGGCCACCGGAGGAGGGTCCCACATGGCGCGCAGACCTCTCCTGCCGCCCGCTGCTCCCCTCAGCAATGTACTTCGGTCCTTCTGCCTGCTCTGCTCCCCGCTCTGGCTCTGGTGAATTCTCTCACCCTCCCGCACTTCTGACTGTACCCAGTGCTTGTATAAATGAATAAATAAATAAATCTTTAAAAAAAAAAAAAAAATATAGAGGCATATAAAGAAATATGTCTTCCCCAGTGTGCCATACACCACGGGAGAAGCCAGCTTACAGTTGGGACTCCTTCCCTGACCCGTGTGTGTATGTGTATGTACACATACAAATCATGTTTGGATTTTCCTTTTTACATAATTGGGACCCAACTATATGGTACTTTTTTGGGGTTTCTTGTTTTTTGGCTAGTATCTTGAAATTATTCTTTTGTTACTTGTAATATTGGTAAAATAACCTCAGCTGCCATTTACTGAGCTTCTACGTCAGGTCTGGCTCTGTTCTTTTGGCCATGTTAGTGCATTAAGACAAACAATATTCTAGCAGAGGGGCTAAAGGGAGTGAGCTCTGGACCTGGATCTAGGATAGTGCCTGGGTTCCAATCCAATCTCTACTGCTACTTTGCTGTGAGAGCTCTGGCAAATTACTTAACCTCTCTGTGCCTGCGCGCCCCCCAATATAGAATGGATCTGATAATATCTCCCCTACAGGAATGTTCAGATGGTGAGTTCTTATGTAAAAGGCACAGAAGTAAAAGAATAGCTAGCATATAGCAAGTGCACGCTATTCTAATTTTTTTTAACCCACACAAGCCTAGGATGGAATAAGAAATTAAGGCACAGAAAGTTAGGTAACTTGCTGTTGGTGCCTCAGCCAATAAGGGGTAGCCAGGCACCACGGCAGCTCCAGGGCCCTCATTCTGAGCCTCTGCCCTGCCCAGGCACCTCTCCCCACATATGGATCTAGCACATTCTTTGTACCCACTGCTCAGCATTCCTTAGAGGGCATTTCCATTTACCATACCCCTGTTGACAGGCCGTTGGGTTGCTTCAATCAGTTGTCATGATTTCAAACAAGGTTGCCCAGAGCAGCTCCACGCACACGTCAGGATATGTGTGCATCTAGAGGATGGGTTCCTGGGGCTGGAACTCCTTAGTCAAGCAGGCCTTGCGTACATGTCTTCTAAACATGATTGCATCCATGTTTCTCACACCCTGCAAACCTATGAACATCCTTGTTCATGGCTGCATCACAGGTCCTTCTGTGGATGAGCCCTCACTGTCCCACCTCCAGTGAAAACTGTGAGCTCCTTCCTACTTTCACCTTTTAAGGTCAGCTCACTACAGCTGCCCTCTTCCATATTGTATCACCACACTAGCACTTCTTTTAGGGAAGGTCTTGCATTTCCGTAGTCTACCAACCCCTCCCTTGCCGCTTGGGCATCCCAGGGAATGCCATTGGCAGGAACCTACCCATTTTACAGATTTGGAGACTGAGTCACAGAGAGGTGATAAGGAATCACATTGGAATCAAGACCAGGATCCCGGCTCCCATTTTATGTACTGAGGAACCCAGAAAAGCCTCTGGATTCCTGGAGGGCAGCCTGGAAGAATAGGCATTGGATAAAGGAATGAATGAATGAATGACTGGGTCTATTCATCCATGAACCCAGAGACTGTTCGAGATATAGTAAGTGCCAACATTTATTATCTACCTGCCACTGACTGTATCAGACCCTGATACAGGGTCTTCTCTACACATGTCAACTCTTTGATCCTCATAATTCTCTGAGAAGGATTTAATTATTATCTGCCCCATTTGACAGAAAAAGAAACCCAGGTACTAAGAAGTTAAGTGCCTCAGCCAACATGGCATAGCTGCTGAGCAGCCGTGCCAAAAGTTAGATGATCTTGAACCCCTATCTGCCACTGTCCCCAGCAGTCTCGCCTTCAACCAAGAGGACACCCCGCACCCCACAGCCCTCTGGGAGTGTCACACTGCTTCTTTGTGGTTGGAGCCATTACTCAGCTGGCTGACTTGTCTCAGGCTCTGGGTCCCCCATTGTGAGCTCCTAGAGGACCCCTCTCCCCATCCCAGGGTACATGGAAGAAGGGTGCTGGGAGGAGGGGCAGGTCCTCACCCCCTTTTCTCTCCTTGCCTCCTGCAGTGGTCGGGCTCGACATACAGGATGAGATGGGCAGGCACGAGGTGGGGCACATCGACAACTCGATGAAGATCCCACTGAACAACGGGGCGGGCTGCCGCTTCGAGGGGCAGTTCAGCATCAACAAGGTAGGACATACCCCTTTCACCCACTCTCCAGCCCCTCCGTCCCCTTCCCCTCTAGAAACCAGATAGCAGAGCTGTGTGCCTCCCTCCTTCCCAGACCCCCAACCACAGAGACCCTGGCAAGTTGGGGTCGGTATCTACCTTCCTGCTAGGTGGGAGTTTTGAAGCCCCTGCTGACTGGTTCAGGAAGGGGCTGTTCTCTCCAACAAAGAAGGCAGGGGTGGAAAGAAGACAGTGGGGTTCCTCCTTCATCCTGGCTCTACTCCACTGTAGCGACTTACAAGGTATTTGACCCACCTTGGCCTCATTTTACATCTTGACATTGTTATGCATGTGATGATAGTAATCATGTCATGGAGCCTCCACTCCATAATGTTTGTGTGGGGATTTAAAGAGCTATTCATTATACATTCATTTATTGTAAATTTTTCTTCTGAGCACCTGCTGTGTTCCAGAGTTGTGGGCTCAGAGGTGATCTATTAGGTGGGTGGAGTTTGTACCCTGGTGGAGTGAGACATAATATTCACGTTTGCATGGGTGGGAAGTTTCATGATGAGAAATGAAGCAAGGAGAACTGAGAGTAGGGAGGCTTTGAAAGTACCTGGTCAGAGAACCATTCAAGCATTACTGTTTTGTCACTAGAACCAGCTCCTTCGGAAATGAAGTCAAGAGTGTGAGCCTGCTGCATTTGGGGGAGTCAGGGAACCCCAGCAGGAGCCAGCAGGATTGCTCAGCATGGGCCAGCTATCTTCTTCAGCAACTTTTATGTACGATCACAGTGGAGCCTCAACAACCCTGTGAGGTGGCAGCATTTTACACAAGGAAATCCAGAAAGGTTAAGAATCTTGCCCAAGGTCACACAGCTCTCCCCAGTCCCACAAGTCCCCTTCCCAGTCCCTGCCAGACAAAGCCGCCGGCCACTCCTGGCTTCTGCTTCCTCCACTCAACTCCCTTCCCAGAACAAGTTCTGTTGTCCTCTACAGCATCCAAGCACTTCAGAGCCAGTGTCAGGAACCAGGAGTCCAGCTTGCTGGCTCTTCAGTCAGAGGGTCTGGCCATACTGGGCACACGTCCCACCAGGGATAATGATCTGAAACTAGGGAAACTGCCCCTTTAGACAGGACAAGAGCTCGCCCTTCCCACAGTCCCCACTGGCAGCTATAAAGTTGGGCCTGGGCACTGGCATGGCTGGACGCATCTCTCTCTCTCCTTGTGGTCTCTGCAGGCGGCCTCTCTAGCAGGGTCAGCATCTTCTATGACAGCCCAGGGCTCCCTTCAGCGCTGAAGCAGAGACTATCCCTGGCTACTGCACTTGGTGGGCTAATGTGAGTCACATACCAGTCCAGGCCCAGAGGAGAGGGCTCGCCAGTAGCATGGGTGCTGGAAGGCGTGATTCTAAGGCTGTCTGTGCAGATTTGCCTCCACACAGGGTCTGCGCTGAGTCAGCCCCACGATGTGGATTTTAATGGTGGTTGTGTTGGGAAGCCATTGGGTGTTTTCAGCAGGGAAACCCCTGGAGAACTGCTGTTCAGCCACAGGTTTAGCTGACAGAGACAGCCCAATGCCACACATCCCTTTGGCAAACATGACCAAGGCAGCAGTTGGTGCCCCTCAGATGAGCCACTGGAGGGTGAATCTTTGCTAGCTGGCTCTCAGTGAAGTGAAACTTGCTCTTTGGGGCCAAATGGACCTGTGGTCAAGAGTCCTGGCTGTAACCCTAGTGAATGAGCAGTTTTTCTTCTCTGGGCTTCACAGTTTCCCTTGCTGTCAAACGGGGATAGTTATACTGGCCTCACGAGCAAATTAAAATGCACACAGCACTGAACACAGTAGGGATGGAATAAACCTCAGTGCCTTGATCTCCCATCAGTGAGAGTGTCTGTGACCTCATCAGCTGACCCCCCACCATCGCCAGGTGCAAATGAGTTTATAAAATCATGTGCAGATAATGTCAGAGGACCTGGAATTCTAGGAAAGGGTCACCTCAGCCCGACCTGTTGGCTACCAACAGTTAGGTCTTCACCTGGCCCTGTACTCATATTAACACATTCAGCCCTCATTACAGCCTGAGGAAACTGAGGCACAGGAGATTAAGTAACCTGTTTGAGGGCCCACAGCCAGGATTTGAACCCAGGCACTTCCCCTACTAAACCCGCCCCCCTTGTCCCCTGCACCACCACCCCTTGCTGATGCTGGCTGTCTAAGTCACATGTGCCATGGCCAGTGTGTCCATTCATTCCAGATCACAGCTCAGGCCAGCCTCTGTTCCTTACCCACTTTCCCTTGTTAAGGTTTGTGCCTTCAGGGTTTGCTCAACCAAGCAGTGCTCAGATAAGAAAGCCAGCAGGCAGGCCCTACCTCCTTATCGCCTTCCATCAGGCTGACTCTTGCCTGGGGCCTCTTTATCCTTCCATCAGGACTCTGGCGAGCAGCCAGGTGTCAGCATTTCAGCGGCAGCCCAGACACCTTACTTAATCACACAGGCCCTGGGAGGAAGGGCAAAGTGGGTTGGGGCTTGGAGACTGGCTCCATCTATATGTTTTTAAAATCCATCAGAGACACTGACGCAGGCTTCTAAGTCACAGGTTCTAAAAGCGTCGTCTCCTCTTTCTTCAGCCCAGCATGTGCTGGCATGCGTCAGCCACTTGCCATGGGTTCTGAGTGGAGGGGGCGCGGGTCACTGAGTCACAGCCTCCCGGGGCTGGCAGCGGTGGCAGATGCGCAAATCCAGTCTCCTTGACTCACTTAACTCCAGGTGCCTGAGGCCCAGGCCCCAGCCTGATTCTGAACTCTGCCATGGCCCGGTCCATGGGAGGCCCTGGGTCAACATATAGAAAAGGTCTGAAGAACACCCACTCGTCACTGTTGATTTCTTGAAGGAGTGATAAGTGCTGGAGACTTTAGTTCTGCCTTTATTGTATGTAATTTTTTATACTACAAATGTGTCCAGGTATTATTTATATAAGTAAAAATGAAATTAAAAAAAATTTTTTTAACTTGACTTTTCCCCATGCCCTGCCTGGAAGAGTCCTTTTTCCAGAATGGCTCTTGGCTCTGATGACTAGATATGTTCATCCTAAGAACCGAACCCAATAACAACTGCCATCGAGTTTGTACTCATCCCCTCATTTAATCTTCCAAGTCTCTCTGTGGTTATCATCTTCATTTTATCAATGGAGAAACTGAGGAACAGAGTGGCTACTGACCTTGTCCAAGGCCTGAGTAGGGAGTAGGGCTAGAACTCAGCCAGTTCTTGACCACAGGTAATTGGGCCCCTTGAAGTGGACTGTGCTGTTCTCTCAGGAAGATCTTGTCAAGCTGCCTTTCTGCTCACCCCAGACCTGGCTCCCCGGGCCCTGATCCCAGATAACATCCCAGCCCCTGACTCCCTGAGCTACCTGTGGTCAGGCCCTGTTATTCTTCCCTCCCATGTCATTCCAAAGCTCATGCCCCAGTGAGGACAGGAATACTCCCTAGGGAAGCCCACAAGTTTGTGTGTGAAGCAAGCAGGCTTGCATTTGATGGACCAGCTGCATGCTGAGCTGTATGTAAGCCCTACTCCTTCTAGAGCTCTCTAGAATAAAGTCCCTCCTGAATTTCTCCGTCTGGCATTTGGGGCTTTGCTAAACAGCCCCGCCTCCTTGACTCCTTTACTTCCTGCTGGTACCATTCCTTCCCTCTCTCTTAGTAGGGGTCAGCCAGACCAAACCCTTCTAGCCCCTAATACGTGCCCACACACTGGGGGGGTCTCTGACCTCCACAGTTGTTTGTGCTGTTCCGTCTGCCCAGATGCCTTTCCCCTTCTTCTTGTGTAATGCACTCAGAAAGGGGTTCTTGACACATGTGGGTCCTTTTCCCTGAAAGTCCTACACGAGCAACCCCAGCTGAGTTGGCCCCCGCTGATTCTGAACTCTGCCCATGGCCCCCACCCTCTGACCCTAGGTGGGTCACGCAGGGTCTCATTTTCTGTTCCAAGTCTATGTTGCAGCTGGCCAGGGCCCTGTCCTGGATCAGGCTCTTGTCTGAGTCATCTCCCCAAACCCTGAAGGATTGGCTCTGTGTGGTTGCTGAGGGGAAGGGCTTGGGCCTGAGTGGGAAAGAGTGGCATGTCCCGCTTCGGCCAGCGTGCTGCATCTGGAGCTCGCAGACAAATGACCTTACAGTTTCTTCACTACTCAGGTCTCAGTTTCCTTCTCTGTAAGTTGGGAATCATCAGGTGCCAAAGCCACAAATGCTGTTTTAGAATTAGTGTCATTCACACATTCATTCATTCATTCATTCATTCAGTGAGTAAGTAAGTAAGTAAGTATTTCTTGAGGACCTACTATGCACCAAGGTTGGGGACAGACAGCAGACAAAAATCCCTACTAGCCTGGAGTCTCTATTCTTGTGGGAAGAAACAGACGAGAACAAGATGAAGATAAGATGGCAGATGAAGTGTGTTTTGGTAGGATGAGAGGGGAAGGATGGGGGGAAGTTGAGTAGAGGCCTGAGAGAGAGCCATGTGAACAAGGGCTCCAGAAAGAGGGAGCATGGGCAGAGAGGCCGAGGGAGGCCAGCACAACTGGAAGGATAAAAAGAGGAGGATGTGAGGGTGTGACTTTGAGGCAAGAATGGGACTCTGAAGGTTTCCAAGTAGAGGTGTGATGGGATAAAGCATAGATCCCCAAGGCCACCTCTGGTCACTATTGGGGAAAAACTTGGGGACACCAATGGCAGGAACTAGGGGCCCTATGGAGACACTACCACAGTCCCATCCTGGGGCATAGTGGAGGCTTGAGGGGATCAGGTGCTGGTCATGTAGGTGGTGGAACTGATGGCATTTCCTGATGGGTAGGAGGTTAAGTGTGAGAGAAGGATGAGGGGTGGAGGGTAGGGGGTGCAAGATGACCCTCAGGGTTTGGTTTGAGCAGCTGGGCAGAGGAGGTACCTTCCAGTGACATCAGGAGGCCCCAGGAGAATCTAGGGAGGTCAGGATACTCCGTGTCATTCATTTCCTGGACTAATTCATTCAGTACCTCCAACAGGCTGTGCTCTGATGGAGCCTTGGGACCCAGGGAGGAAACCCATTTACCCTAGGGTGGTGGGGTAAATATAGGTGGGTGATGGTAATGATGTGGAGTGCATTGGGCTGCAGGCCTGAAGGCCATCCCCCAGCCTGCTATGGGGCCAGCAGCCCAGGAGGTGGCTGGTGGACATGCTGTTTGGAATCCTGGGCTGTGCCAGGAGCCAGCTGTGTGCTTCACATGTGTTCTCTCTCCCCGAAGCCCCAGAGCCTCCTCAGGTACCACTGTTATTGCCCCATTTCTCCAGTTGAGGAACCCGAGGCTTAGAGAGGGGCAGCAGTTCCTCCAAAGTCTCACAGCTAGGATCATGACCAAGCCAGGATCCATATCCAGAGCTGTCTTCTCCACAGTGAAGACCTGCTCTGGCAGACCCTCAACCAAGCTCCTGAAACTTGCCTGTCTCCCTCAGGTCCCGGGCAACTTTCACGTATCCACACACAGTGCCACAGCCCAGCCACAGAACCCGGACATGACCCACGTCATCCACAAGCTCTCCTTTGGGGACACACTACAGGTGAGTGCACAATCTAGGGGATGAGGCCAGGGTGGCCATGCAGGGGCTTTGTCACCCAAAGCCTGCTATCCTCCCTGGACACAGAGGGATGCCCTCCAGAGGGGCCACCCACTTTGAGCCCCTGCTCAGACAAACACCTCCCTCGATTATTCCTTCTGTGCGTGGCTGCAGTTTGTTTTGTCAATAATGCAGTGGACTTGGAGCCTCAGGTTGACATCTGTGGAAAGAGACTAGCTTGTTGCAAGCTAGTGCTAAGTGCTGGTGCTTTCTCTGCACCAACCATAGGAGGTAGAGGGCCCCACTTTTACAGACAAGGAGCTGAACCCAGAAAAGCCCAACCCAGGTCCCCCAGCATATCTGTCTGCGTCCCAGAGTTCAGGATTAGTGTCATTCACTATTTATTGAGCACTTGCTGTGCACCCATGTCAGGGGCAGATAGCAACAGATGAGACAAAAATCCCTACTAGCTTGGAACCTCCATTCTTGTGGGAGGAGACAGGTGAGCTCACTGCCTTTTTTGCCCTACTGCTCAGTGCCCATGTCCACTAAGTAGGGGTAGCTCAGTCATTGGAAGATGCTGGCAGTTCTTGTCACTAGAATTGGGAGGGCCATCTCTGCAGGTTCAGTCCAACTGTTTCCTACACCAGGCAGCAGCACAAAGGACCCAGACACTGCCCATGTGACTCTGTCAGGTGCAGGCAGTGGAGCTTAACACCCTATCTTCTCTACCCCCACCGCAGTCCTGAAGATAGATTCTATTATATCCCATTTGAGAACGATGGGATTGAGGTTCAGCAAGGGGATGTAACTGCTCTGGCCACAGTGCTTGGATTGGGACCTAGACCTGACCCCAAGTCTGTGTCCCGTTGAGGTTGCTGGAGGGTGGGGGTGACATGTACCCATGGTTCTCACAATCCCCCCATGTACACATACACCGTGACACCACCTGTGACATCTGCCCAGACTCCTACAGGCATTCATCAGACACTCTCTCCAGGGTGCGTCCTGACACGCATGCTGGTGCACACACCCTGTGGCCCATCCCCGAACATGCCACAGGCACACACACACACACACACACACACCCCTGCTATTGGCATTCTCTCAAGCATTACCTGCCCCCCACTCCCTAAAGTGTGATCGTGTTTTTCACATACGCATACACCGTCCAGAGGCAGGCACAGACTCACTGGCTGGATATCTCATACAGGCACACATGCACGCTCATGCCTGCACTGCCCCAACCATACGACCATCTACATCCATCCACCTGCAGCAAGAAAACCTGATGTCAGCAAGAATACCTGATGTCAGTCAAATGCTTTCTGTGTGCCAAACATCGTACCTTATAAGCAAAACTTTTTACTCTTTCAGCAGTTTCAGAAGTTGGTACTTTATTTTCCCCATTTTACAGAGGAGGAAAGTGAGGTTTGAAAGGGTACAGCCTGTTGTAGAATCCAGTATGAATCCAGTAGAATCCAGTCTAGCCTTGACTGCAATGCTGGTATACCTCGCCCTCATGGTGCACACCCTCCAGCACAGGCACACTTTCACACTTCCTCCCTCTAGTCTACATTTCTTGTACTTTCTTCCCAGGTACACAGCCCAGCAGACTCAGTCATTGACTTTTCAGGCCCTTTAGAGACCCCAGAAGTTTTCCTTTGGGAACAGAGAAGGTCTGGCTTCCAAGGTGACAGGAACTAGACTCCCCATCCACACAGTGAGGCATGACCCACCTGGGACTATGGACTCACTTCCTGCAGGTGATTTCACACAGGATTCACCACTCATACCCTCCTACATCTCCAACCAAGAAACTGTTGTGTGGAGGTACCCCAGCCTACTTTTCTGGGTTCAGATCCTGGTTTCACCACTTACCAGTTTTGTAACCAAGGCCAAATTATTTATTCTTGCTGGGCCTCAATTATCTCATATCAGTTTACATCCCATGTAAAAAGGGAACAATAATAGTCCCTGCCTCCTAGGAGCACAGTGAAGCTAGAGTGAATGAACACATGTGAAACTCCTAGAACAATGCCTGGCACAGAGTAAATAGTCATTGAAATCAGATTTTCCCCTTGTTGGCTGTACCCTCACTCTGCCAGCATTCATGGGGCTCACACCCATAAGGTGTGGAGAGGGGGCATCACCACCCATATTAGGAATAGTGGATGATGACCCCAGGGTAAAAAATGAGCCTTGGCCACATCCTAGAGGTCTTTGCACTCCACCAGCTCATCAAATCTTGACAACAGCCCCAGAAGCTGGGCACACAGGGAACCTGAAGCATAGAATCACAGGTCATACAACTCACTATAACACAGCCAGAATTTGAACCCAGTTTTTTCACAGTCAATACATCTTTCTCACGGGGTGCTGACCCCTGGAACCTGCCCTGAAGGCACTTTCCTGCCTAGAGAGCAGCGTTGTAGAAGATGCTTTATTTAATCCTCACAAAAACTCCCTGAAGGATGTTGGATGAGATTTATTTTCTCTGATGAGGAAACTGGGTCAGAAAGGTTCGGTAACTGACCTAAGGTCACACAGCCCTTAAGAAACCAGTCTTCCTGACTGTGCCTCCTATAGGCACAGGTGGATTCATCAGATCTTCTGGAAATACCTTCTCTCTGCCAGGCTCTGTGCCAGGCCCTGGGACTGCAGTGACGAATAAACAATATAGGGTTCTCACCCTTTAGTAAAGAAGAGATCAAATAACATTATAATATAGGGCAAGGAGGGCCAAAAACAAGAGAGGCATAGGATTCTAGGTAGTGATGTGGACGTGGGCCGCTCCCCAGTTGGGAAGATCAGGGCAGGCTTCCTAGAGAAGGTGACATCTATGCCAAACCCTAAAATGTGAGAAAAATCAAGCTTAGGAAGTCTCACAGGCAGGGGTCATCTTACACATCACCCCCTCCTAGGGTGATTGCTCTGTGGCATAGATTTCATGTGAAAGACTCACAAAGTTATGTTTAAGAAGAAATGGATTGGCCACACATCAGAATAGTGTTTTGTATGTGAGATGCTCGAGGGCCAGGGAATGAGGGCTCATCAGAGTTGGCTGGGGGTCCAAAAGTATCTACTTGGAGGGGGAGTAGGGACTGAGTTTTAGGTGGAGGGAGACCCATGTGAGACTTTGCAAGGTAGGGGCTGATGGGGTTAAGTAACTGTCCTAAAAACAGCTCAGTCATTGTAGTAGAAATAGGATTTTTTTTTTTAAAAAAAGATTTATTTATTTATTTATTTATACAAGCACTGGATACAGTCAGAAGGGCAGGAGGGTGAAAGAATTCACCAGAGCCAGAACGAGGAGCAGAGCAGGCAGAGGGGCCGAAGTGCACTGCTGAGGGGAGCAGTGAGCTGCAGGAGAGGTCTGCGCGCCATGTGGGACCCTCCTCCAGTGGCCGGGGAGCAGCCGGGGATCGAACCGGTGCCACAGAGGCTGCGGGCAGCTTCACAACCCAGCGCTCAACTGCTGTGCCACCGGGGAGGCCCGAAATAGGATTTCTTTTCATGTAAAAAACTGAGCTGATTTTCATCTACCCAGCCATTAGCCATCTAGCCATACAACAAATATTTATTGAGCACCTACTATGTGCCAACCTTAGGCATGCATCAGTGAGGACAACATGGCCCTGCCTGTATGAACTTAAAGTCTAGTAGGGAAGACAGAAGTTAATCAACTAATCACAATTGAAGGTGAGATAAAAATGACACACAACAATGATAGAGACTATTCATAATTTCTGTCCTCTTGAGTCAGAAACCAAGTCTTCAGAAAGTCAAGTTCAAAGCAACAAATGGACAAACTTTCCTTTGGGCTTATTGATAAGTGCTCAATAGACATCAGCCGAGACCTAGATCAGGTCACCCAACTGCTGCCTGGTGTGCCTGCAGTAGCCCTCTCTGCAGGGGCCTGTCCCCAGTTCCCTCACTGACCTCCCTACTTCCCACTCCTCACGCACCTTCTTTTCTCAAGGCTCTCATGCTTGCACATGCTGCTCACCAGATTAACTTCTCTCTTTCCTGTAGATATTGATGTCCCTGTCACTTCCTCCAGGAAGCCCTCCAGAGTATCTACCTCAGCAGCCCATATTCCATGCCCCTGGTGGTATGCCCCATGTACTGGGTGTGCCTTGTCCTGCCTTAGATTCTCTGAAACTGACTTGCTTTCCATCTTCCTTACAAAAGAAGTGGGGTGGCCTTCAACTCTACTCTATAGCAGCCTCTGTCACTGCCAGGCCTTTTTAGAGGATAGTGGGTGGAGGTCTCAGGAAGTGCAGCTGGAACTCAGAGCCACCTTACTTGAGTCTTTTCTATGGCTTAATGGAAAGAGCTCAAGGCTTGAGGTCCCATAGCCCTGAACCTGAAGTTGACTCAGCCTTATGTCAGCAAGTGTCTGGATAAGTTCTGGAGTTTCTCCAAGTCTCATCTGCTATTCTGTAAAATGGGCCCAATGAAATATCATTTGGGGCATTAAAGGAGATGACATAAAATGCCCAGCACAGAATAGCATATAGTAGGTACCCAAGCAAAGGAAGCAAACTAGCACCTACTGTGTGCCAGCCTTGTGCCCTGTTGTATCTTGCTCCCCAAATGTCTGTGATACAGACTGTGCTGGGTTGCATTTCACACACAGGTGGGGTTCCTAGACAAGGTTGTGCCTGGGGTCAGCCCTTCACTGTGCTTCTCCTCAGGTCCAGAATGTCCATGGAGCTTTCAATGCTCTCGGGGGAGCAGACAGACTCACCTCCAACCGTAAGTATTTGGATCCCACCTGGGAGCATCCTCTGTCCCAAGTCCCTGTATGGCAGAGGGGAGGGGGTATTGTCAAGCATGTGCCATAAGCCAAGCTGCCAATGCTTCATTCCACATCTAGCCTGTGAGGAAGGTGGGATTATCCCTCTATTTCAGAGAAGGGAGAAAATGACTTGTGCCTAGGGGCAAAATATGTGGCAGCTAGCTCTGGGCACATATTAAGTACTCACTGAGTATCAGCTATTATCATTATTGCTGTTGTTATTGCTGCCATGTTATTTTACTTAGTTGAGATAATCCCCGAAATCCCACAGGAGTGATGATGGAGAGGCAGAACCTGTCTGGTTCCCCATGGCACCATGAGAACAGGGCTGTGGGTGGCAGGTGGGTCTGACTCCTCCTCCCTGCCCTTTCCTCTTCCGTGAACCCCTCCCACCATGCATGGCCCCTCCCTGAGCCCTCTTCCTCCTTGGCTCCCTGGCAGCTCAGCCCACATCCAAGAGCATACCATGTCTTTATACACCAGCAATACATACATGCGTACCTACACAAATGCACAGCAATGCATGCATGCCAACACGCACGTACCTACACACCAACCATTACGCACGCCTACGCACACATACCTACCCACATGCTTAGCAATATGTGCATAAACCCAGACACACCCCAACCTGCCCTTATATTGAGAAGCATGCACAGCAACACACAAATGCCTGCATGCACACCTACACATGTGTGTACACATGTGGGACCTTGGTCACGTGCTCAGAACAGTCTTGAAATCTGTGTGGATCTAGCCTGTCTAGCCACTGAACAGGTGACCTTCACATATTACCTCTCCAGAGTCCACCTTCCCCACCCCTGTGGTCCCATCATTTTATAAAACACATGGGCTCGCTAACAGAAATCAAATAGAAGACATCTCTCTGTGACCAGCCCCTCCCCTGCAATAAATCAAGCTTTAATGTGTCCCTGTGAATTTTGTCCAATAGCAGAAGTCATTTTTTCCTAGCGCCATAGACAGCAGCTTACCTTCTAACTTTGTGTCTGTCATTATTACATAATCAGTCTTCCTACAGCACATCCAGTGGTCGTGGAGACATGGTTGCCTCTCCGGCAGCTCTGCCAGGCTTCGTTAAGGCCTGGACAGTGTTTTTATAACAGTAATGCCTCTGATATTTATGGTATGTGCTTTACAATCCCAGTGGCTTTCCAGCTGGGTCGGTGCCCGCGTGTGCTGCCTCTACCAGCAGCAGCCCCTAGCGCAGCAGTGGAAGAAAGAGTGGGCAACAGTGCCTCCCTGCTTCCATGGGGATGTCTAGCCACGGTGACGGCGATGCCTCTTGGTACAGAGGAGAGTTTTTTTTTTTTTTAATAATAAATTTTATTTTTATATTCCCCATACAATTGCAACTCCCCCATTCTGACCCCAATCCCTCCCCTCCCGCCCCCCACCCCCCAAAAAGTGTCTCTGGTTCATAGTTTTTTGTTGATTTTGATTTTCACTTCCTTATAGTTATTCATTTTCCTGGTCCCTTATTTAAGTTTTCTAGATTCCTGCTATGAGTGAGACCATCCGGTATTTTTCTTTTTCTTTCTGGCTTATTTCGCTGAGCATGATCCCTTCCAGCGCCATCCATGTGGCTGCAAATTGCATGTGTTTATCTTTTTTGAATGCTGAGTAATATTCCATGGTATATATGTACCACATCTTCTTGATCCAGTCATCTATTTTGGGGCATTTGGGCTGTTTCCAAAGCTTAGCTATTGTAAATAGTGCTGCTATAAACATAGGGGTGCAGGTGTTCTTTGGAATTGATGTTTCTGTGTCCTTTGAGTAAATACGTAGGAGTGGAATTGCTGGATCATATGGAAGCTCTATGTTTAGTAGGTCCAGAAATCTCCACACAGCTCTCCATAGTGGTTGGACCAGTTTGCACTCCCACCAACAGTGCAGGAGAGTTCCTTTTTCTCCACACCCTCGCCAACATTTGTTGTTGCTAGTTTTTTTAATATGTGCCATTCTCACTGGTGTGAGATGGTATCTCATGGTAGTTTTGATTTGCATTTCCCTGATTACAAGTGATGTTGAACATTTTTTCATATGCCTGTTGGCCATTTGCATTTCCTCTTCAGAGAAGTTTCTTTTTAGCTCTTCTGCCCATTTTTTGACTGGATTATTTTCTTTGTTTTTGTTGAGTCTCATCAGCTCTTTTTAGATTTTTGTGATCAGTCCTTTATCATTAGTGTTGTGTGCAAAAATGTTCTCCCAGTTGGTGGGGTTTCTCTTTGTTTTTGTTATTGTCTCTTTTGCTGTGCAGAAGCTCTTTAATTTGATGTAATCCCAGCTGTTTATCTTTGCCTTCACTATCACTGCTTTGGGTGATGTGTCTGTAAAGATGTCTTTGAGGTGCAAATCACGTAGTGTTTCGCCTATATTTCCTTCTATGTATTTTATGGTTTCAGGTCTTATGTCTAGTTCTTTAATCTATTTTGAGTTGATTTTTGTGTAGGGTGTGAGGTAGTGGTCAAGCTTCATTCTTTTGCATGTAGCCACCCAGTTTTCCCAGCACCATTTATTGAACAAACTTTCTTTGCTCCAATGCATAGTCTTTGCTCCTTTGTCAAAGATTAATTGACTATAAATCTGTGGGTTTATTTCTGGATTTTCTATTCAATTCCATTGGTCTGTATGTCTGTGCTTGTTCCAATACCATGCAGTTTTGATGATTATGGCTTTGTAGTATAGTTTGAAGGCTGGGAGTGTGATGCCTCCATTCCCTTCTTTTTTTTTTTCAGGAGAGCTTTGGCTATTCAGGGTTTTCTGTGATTCCATATGAATTTCATCAATAATTGTTCTATTTCTTTGAAGAATGACATTGAAATTTTGATTGGAGTAGCATTGAATCTGTATATTTCTTTTGGTAGGATGGCCATTTTAATAATGTTTATTCTTCCAATCCATGAGCAGGGGATGTCTTTCCATTTCTTTGTGTCTTCTTCTATTTCTTTTTACAGTGTTTTATAGTTTTCTTTGTATAGGTCCTTTACCTCTTTTGTTAGATTTATTCCCAAATATTTGATTTTTTTTGTTTCAATAATAAAAGGGATGGTTTTTTTGATTTCTTCTTCTTCAGATTTATTGTTTGTGTATAGGAAGGCTACTGACTTTTGTGTGTTGATTTTGTATCCTGCCACTTTACTGAACTGATTGATGAGTTGAATTAGTTTTTCTGTGGAGTTTTTGGGGTTCTCTATGTATATTATCATATCATCTGCAAATAGTGATAGTTTGACTTCTTCTTTTCCTATTTGGATTCCTTGGATGTCTTTCTCTTGTCTTATTGCTCTGGCTAGGACTTCCAGTATTATATTGAAAAGCAGTGGTGAGAGTGGACATCCTTGTCTTGTTCCAGATCTTAATGGAATTGCTTTCAGCTTTTCACCATTGAGAATGATACTGGCTGTTGGCTTGTCATAGATGGCCTTTATGATGTTGAGGTATGTTCCTTGTATCCCAAGAATTTCAAGGGCTTTTATCATAAATGGGTGTTGCACTTTGTCGAAAGCTTTCTCAGCATCTATTGATATTATCATATGGTTTTTATATTTCTTTTTGTTGATGTGTTGGATAACCTTGATTGATTTTCGGATGTTAAACCATCCTTGTGTCCCTGGAATGAATCCTACTTGGTCGTGGTGAATTATCTTATGGATACATTGTTGGATTCTGATAGCTAAAATTTTATTGAGGATTTTTGCATCAGTGTTCATTAGGGAGATTGGCCTGTAGTTTTCCTTTTTTGTGTTGTCCTTGTTTGGTTTTGGTATTAGTATAATGTTGGCTTCGTAGAACGTGTTTGGTATTGTCCCTTCCTTCTCAATTTTTTGGAAGAGTTTGTGAAGGATAGGCACTAATTCGTCTCTGAATGTTTGGTAGAATTCATTTGTAAATCCATCAGGTCCTGGGCTTTTGTTTTTGGGGAGGTTTTTGATTACCATTTCAATTTAGCTGCTTGTAATTGGTCTGTTTAGGTGTTCTATTTCTTCTTTATCTAGCTTTGGGTGATTGTAGAGTTGTAGGAATTTGTCCATCTCCAGAGGAGAGTTTTATTGATCTGAGTAAGGGCAGCATGTTCCGTCCACACACACTTGCAGCTAGCATGGACCCCTCAGCTGCCTGACACCAAAGAGAACACAGCTAGGAAGGTCCTTGAGTGCGTGAGCGCTAGAGGGTGTCTACAAAAGACCTTGCCCACTCTGGGGCTGGGGCAAAAGCCACCTCAGACCTCAGTGGAAGAAGTGTGTGCGACCTGGCAGTAATAGCCTCCCCCTCTTCACCCCACCCCCATCACCACCAGGGCTAGACCTGGCTCTCACTTCCTCAGAGGCTTCTGGGCCTCTGCCTTTTCTGTTCCCTCTGCTCTCATCTCTTCCCCTGGGGGCTGCTTCTTGTCATTCAGGTCTCAGCTCAGATACCACTACCTCAGAGAGGCCCCTCTCTGACCACTTTATCTAAAGTAACCCTCATTCCTAGGATCCGACTTGTCTTTCTTCTGAGTACAGACCACCTTCTTTGAGATACTGAGGAGTAATTGTGGATGTCTTATGAAGATGCTATTGGTGGTTGGTTGGTTGGTTGGTTGGTTGGTTGGTTGTTCAGGAGTCCTTATCTTTAGGGAGACATAACTAAAATATTTGTGGATGAATTGAGGTGATCTGGGATTTACTTCAAAAATGCAGTTTGTCAAGGCTGGACCCCACAGAGACAGAGGCCTCAACAGGCTATTCCAGGCTGCCCAGGTGTGTGTGATCACACTTTATGACGTTCCCACAATGACGACGAAATCACCTAAGGACACATTTCTCAGAACATGTTCCCTTCACATGACTCAGACTATAAAATAGGGGAGGCGAAAGGGGTGTGGTAGAAATGAGCCAAACCAACCGTGTGTTGTTAGCTGCTGAAGCCGGCTAAGGCTTCTTGAGGGTTCTTTATACCATTTCTTATTTATCATATGTTTGAATTTTTCTATGATGAGCTATTTGAAGGAGGGAGGGTGAGGGCAGAACATGGGGGCCTGCCTGGATCTAGTGGGTGCCCAGAGCCCCTTGGAGAGGACAGCTCACCAGGACTCCACTGGACATTTGGCAAGTTGTATGCAAGGCTTTAACAATGGTCACCGCCTTTGAGTCATCAGTTCTACTCATAGGATAGTAAACTAAGGAAATCATTAAGAGAGCATGCAAAGACTTAGGAAAACCATGTGCAGTGGTTCATTGTTTATAAGAGGGGAAACGAGGAGCGTCACAGTCTGGCCGCGAGGGTTTGCTTGAGTATAACTGTATGAGGCCATGACATGGCATGTTCACACAACAATGAAATGGACTGACCATGCCTTTCTAGAACCTATCCCTGTTGTTAAGTGATGCAGGATGCATTTCAAGTGTGGGCTTAGGGTTCCTAATTTAAAATGCAGATTCTAGGCTCCGCACCAAATCTAAAGTATGAAAAGCTCTGATGGGACCTAGGCCTTTTAAATCCCGGTGATGCCAGAAATTCTGACATCAGAGGACCAATGCAGGGCTGGGCAGAGGGGTCCTGAGGTCTTCTGGGGCTTGCCCTTGAGCTGCAGGGGGTTCCCCAGGCTTTCAGAGGCACCAGGCTGGTTCAGGAAGCACTGCCCTTCGTCACAAAGACGAAGTATTGGCAGGAAGAGGCAGTGACGCCACCAACATCACCTACCTTTTTACAGAAGAACCCAAGTACTCAGAACTGACTCAGCCAGGAGACTAGAATTAGAACCCATAAGCCCAAATTTCTATGATGTTTTAGCTCCATGGTCCCTGTGATTCCAGAAGGCAATAAGAGAGGTCATTGAACTTTCTTAGCCTCCCAGAGGGACCTAGGCAATCTATACCTTTTCCGGGTGATATTTGGCAGCCTTGGGCAGCCTTCTATCAGCCTGGTGTTTGATTCCAGTTATCTCATGCTTATCAGACGCTGATTCATCTGCTCTTCCATTCATGCCTCTGATCAGTCATCCTGCTGTCTGTTCATTCATTCAGTAAGCATTTGCCACTGTTTTCTCCATACCAGCCTTGTAAGAGGCGCTGGAGACACAGATGTGAGTAAGGAGTCAGTAAGATGCCATCCCTGAGCTCAGCAGCCTTCCCCAACTACTGGAGCTGGGGAGAGAATGACAGTGGAGTAGGTCAGGCTCAGGTGAAAGAACTGATCTCTCTGTCATTGAAAATTGAGAAAGAGTCCTCCCCGGTGGCGCAGTGGGTTGAATGCAGTGCTGTGAATCTGTCCACAGCCTCTGCAGCATGGGTTCGATTCCTGGCCGGCCAGGGAGATACCCAAATGGCAAGGCAGACCTCTCCTGCCTCGCCCGCTGCTCCCCTCAGCAGTGCTTTCAGTCCGTCTGCCTGTTCTCCTCCCCACTCTGTCTCTGGTGAATCCTCTCACCCTCCCACACCTCTGGCCTGTACCCCAGCTCTTGTATAAATAAAAGAAATCTTAAAAAAGAAAAAAAAAGAAAATTGGGAAAGAAATGAATCTGTTTTCATTGATGCCGTCTTTCTGGTTTGGTAGGCTCCTTGTTTTTAAAACTTAAGCACAATTAGCTTATAAAGCAATAGTGTTCAAGCAGGACCACAATGAAGTACGATCTTTATCCAATCCTGCCTTCCTCCCAGAGGCTAAAAATGCTAATGATTTCTTGGGTATCTTTCCAGAAAATTCTTCAGTCTATTCACACATATATATGGCATCTCCCCTGTCCCCAATACATAGAAACATGAGATACACCCTGTTGTAGAATTTGGTTCTCTGCCTTTCATCGAGTTCTTTTGGACAGTGGCCTCTGCAGCACCCAGTCTTCAATGCTTGTCCTGTTGATGGACATCTGGGTTGTTTCTAGGATGTTAATATTATATGCCGTGCAGGAGTTAAAGGTCCTGACAGGTGGGGTCTCTCAACTGCTGATGTGTAAGGGGAAAAGGGAAGAGGGGTGACTTGGTGGGGAAAACGTCAGGACCAAGCATCCCAGCAATGCCAAGTAGGTTCATTGTTGAAATGATAATAGAGAGAGTTGCCATCTGGCAGTGCTCGGCCCTCAGTTTCATCCTGCTGTGTCCTTCCCACAGCCCTCGCCTCCCATGACTACATCTTGAAGATTGTGCCCACGGTTTACGAGGACATGAGTGGCAAGCAGCAGTACTCTTACCAGTACACAGTGGCCAACAAGGTACTTGGGCAGAGGTCGGGCCCAGCTGCATGCAAGCATGCCCTCTGCTGGCGGAGAGCAGAGGCGACAAGTGTGCAGGCCAGATTTCCCCAGGTTCCCTTAGGTCGCCCTAGGGGATGTCTAGGCTCTGGCCCTGGATCACGATGGGATGCTGGTGCCCAGGACAGGGAATCTAACAAGGAACAGGGTGTGATATGTTTGAGAAAGACCACGCAGGTGGCCTCCCCCAGAGTTCCCAGGGCTTGCAAGCGTCTCCATGGCCTGGCAGCATCTGCCCCCCAGTCCTTCAGACTCAGGACCAGGTCAGCACCTGACAGACACTCCAGCTTGGGGGGCACAAGCACTTTATTCAAAATCATGAGACTAGTGAATCATTCTGGGTGGTGGTTGATGAAAGGGAATGCCAGAACTCCAACATGCTACGTCATGGAGAAGCAGGCAGACCCAAGTGGGTACAGAGCCAGCAGAACAGATGGGCAACAGTTTGTGGTTTCAGAGACAGCCCCAAGCTTCCCTGAGGTGAACCTGCCAAGGGCACATGAGAGCTGGATGCCTGGTGGTTGAGGCACCCCCAAAAGAGACCCCATGGATGGGTCTTTACCTTTCATGTCACTTTACCTTTCAGTCACTCTTTTCCTTTCATGCCAGACTGGCCCTAGCCCCTTTTAAGTAATATATTGTCGAGCGTAATTAAAAGTGGTAGCTTTTATTTATTATTTACTTACTAAGGGTTGGACCTTATGCTAAGTTTTCTGCTTCCATCATCATTTTCAATCATGACAGCATGACACTGGGACTATTTTTGTCCCATTTTACAGTTTTGGTCACTAAAGCACTGAGAGGTGGTCGGAGAACTATAATATGACTGAATAAGGATTTGAACTGGGAAATCCGTGGACTCTGAAACTGGGCTCTTGAAGACACTTCGCTCTGTCTGAACAAGGGTCTACTGAGTCTGACAGACTGGGCACTGCTCCCTTTGAGTGACTCTGGTCCCTGTGCTCTCATCACCTGTGCTGATATTCTGGGGTAACTCTCCAAAGGCAGCCCTGTTTCTTTGTGTTCTGTTTCTTGGAGGGCATCTCACTGTGACCCTCAAGTGCTCAGCACTTACCAGACCAGAACATCTGAGCAGAAAGTACATGGGCCATGGAGCCCACACAGGTGCATCACGGCTCTGTCTCTCACTGGCTATGAGACCTGGGACTGGCCAATGGACCTCTCTTTGCTTCAGTTTGCTCACTTGTGGAGTGGGAACACTGTCCACCTCATAAGATTGCTATCAAATGAACCAATGCTTTAAAAACTGCTCGGCCCACAAAGAAGGTTTTGGGACCATAGGGCCCATCACTGCAATTTCTCATTATTTTTCTCTGTCCCTCAGCTCTGGGATGTAACCCAAGCCCCTTGCCCATTAGCTCTCCCTGGAGAAAGCTGATCTTGTTTTGCCTGAGGCTCTGGCCAGGGCCCAGTGGCCAGGAGAGCTTACTCAGCTCTCTCTGTGCCTTTGGTCCCAGCTGGCCTCAGCGCAAGCATGGCTGCTTCAGCCTTCAGGCCCAGGCACTCTCAGGCATGGTGGTCTGGGGGTACAACTGGAGCGTTGCGTCCAGTCATACATTATGAGAGGTTTGCACCAGCTTGACGTGCCCAGGCCACAGAGAACACTCTAGGGATTCAGTCCCTCAGCATCCTGTGAGCCCAGTGGGTGCCCGTTCAGAAGGTATGGCTCTGGCTCACCAGGTCAGCATGTTCCTTCTCTTAAGAAGGATGCACCACACGTGACCTTAATGCTGGTCTTTCACACACATGCTCATAAACACACGTGTGCTAACACACATGCTCACACACCCCTCAGGACCCCACCGATCTGTCATGACCCCCTTGGTACTCCCTGGTCCACAGTCACAATGTGTGCTTCCTCCTGACTGTGACCCCCGCTGGGGAAGGGGTGGGGTTTACTTCCCTGGGGGTCCACAGCCACCAGCACTGACCGACCCAGAGGAGAAGAACTTAGTAAATTGTCTTTTAATAGAGCAGAGCTTTTGCAGGGCCAGGAATGGAAGGAAGCAATAGGCCTCAGACTGAGCCCGAGTCACTCTTGTTCCTGCTACATCTCTGCTCTCAGATTTATATTTTGATTCTGGTGCTGCTTCCAGGTCATATGATACATTTCCAAGCAGCCAAAAGGGTCAAAAATGCCTCCTGCAGTGTTGTCCAAGGGAAAGGGTATGAGGGGGGCACTGTGGAGTCTGGCTAGGGAAAGGATGGGGGAAGGGAAGCCCCTCTGTGCTTCTGATTCTCTTATTCCCGTCCCCTTCTCTCCTCCTCTGACCAGGAGTACGTGGCCTACAGCCACACAGGACGCATCATCCCCGCTATCTGGTTCCGCTATGACCTCAGCCCAATTACAGTCAAGTACACGGAGAGACGGCAGCCTCTGTACAGGTTCATCACCACGGTGAGTGGGCGTGGCGCTGGCCGTGGGTAGGCTCCCTCCTTCGGCAACCTGACCAGGTCTGTGAGAATTAGGATGCATCAGCCCGCAGGGCTAGGCTAATCCTACAAGGTTTAAACCTGTCTTCAGAACCATGTCAATATACGTGGCATTTTATCAAGAAAAATTTTTCAGAGGGACTGTCACTAAATACAATTTAATTCCTTAATTAGTTCTTCATATGGTCCAAATAGATGCTCATGATCTTCTCTAAATGTTTATTTTATATAGAAATTATTCATAGGAGGGTTTGTCCTTTTCTCTGTAAGTTGGACAATGAAGATTTAACTCAGTTTTTCCCCATGTCTATTGTCCAACTATAGCTGCCGATGTTGTCAGATTTCTTTCTTTCCTTCCTGCCTGCCTGCCTGCTCTCTTCTTTCTTTCTTTTTTGCCATTGTCTCCATCAAATCCGATTTTTCATGGGGCAGCTTCAAGCCAATGTCAGTTTTCTTTGATGCTGATTATTTCTATCCAGTATATTATTGCCTGGTCTTCCATTTAGAACAGTAGGCTCATAGTGCCCTGCTTCAGCCAAGACGCAGGGAGATGTTTGGTAAGTAAAGTCAGCCAAGATGGGATGATTATCCCTACCTCACAGATTTGGAAATTGAGACTTGAAGGTCATTAGGCTTCTGTGCTTCTTCGTCCTTTTAATATTGATACGAGAGTGAGGCCCTAGCCCTGGCTCTGTTCATTTCCTGCTCTTAGAGAAGAGCCAGAGCCTCACATCAAACAGGCCTGAGGGTTTAGTAGGCCTCAAGTGTGGCTGGATCCAGGTGTGAATATTGTCAGGAATAGGTCTTCATCTCGCTTTCCTCTGTTCTGGCTCCATTTTCAAATAGGATTTACCAGTAGAAAGTGCCTCTTTCACAATAATCCCACCCAGGTCCCTGATAGGAGAGCACTGTTACTGGCTGGACTCAGGGAGGGGAATGCTCCTGTTGGTCACCTCCACCCAGACCACAAGGATGAGGATGATGAGGAGATGGAGGACCTGGAGAGAAAATCAGGGACCAGTTGCTCAAAGAGGGAGGGGTGGGTGGTAGGAGGTCAAAAGATCAGATGTCTGCAACAAGGCCTTTGTCTCTATTCTGTGAAATAGGAAGAATAATCCTTCCTCTCCCTACCTCCGAGGGCCTGTGGGACTCAGAGCAGATCATGAAAGGAAAGCTCTTTGCTGTTCTAGAAAAACAGGTGGATACAAAGAGTGTCAAAAGTCTGGCATTTCTGTGAGCCTCAAAACAACCTTTTCTGCTCTTTGATTCCATAAAAAATTGAAGCTTCTGTTCAACAAAGGGCACCTAACATAAAGTTAAACACCTGACAGAGATTGGGAAAAGACATTGGTCACACATACAAGGAAAGAGAACTCTTGGGAATTTATATATAAAGAATTCCTACAAATCAGTAAGAAAAAGCTCAATGACCAAAAAAAGGTGAAGACTGGCCTTTCACAAAGGAGCCTGTGCTGGTGGTGGAAAGAGTCCCAGCTTCAGTAAAAATTGAAGGAACAAGAATGAAAACAGCCCTGTGCTCACAGAACATGGGAGTCCTGTCAGACTGGCAGATGTTAAAGACCTGCCACCATAAAGACTGGGAAGATGGGAAGTCGGGTACCATCATGTGCTTTCTGGTGCATAGGTAAAGTGACTTGGCCACTTTGGAGGGAGATAAAGAAGTCCCTTGACCCAAAAATCGGAATTTCTGAGCAAGTGATTTTACCCAAGACCCAACAGGGTAGCCCCCCAAGTGGGCCTGGGAGCAGATTCTTTCCCAGAACTCCCACTGCCTACCAGAATAAGACAGAAACTAAGACACAGGAAGTGCCTCTGTACTAGTGAGGTCTGCTCCCTGGATGCCCTGGGGTCTGTGGCATGGACAGTGGCAGAGAGACCCCTATATTCCTTCTCATTCCTGTGCCCCTTCCCCTTGGCCCCTGTGTGCCACACCTCTAAGGCTCTGAGTGTTGAAACCCCTTGGCAAGTGGTTGAGAAGTGAATTGACTCCACTTACGCACTTAACGTTTACTAGAAGTGACTGTGCCTGGGTGCTGTGCCGGCAGCAGGTTTGACTGAATCAGACATGCCCCTGCCCTCAAGCAACTCCCCCTGGGGAGGTGAGCATCCAGAACCCCATAGTCCAGTCCAACAAGAGCACCAGGAGCTGAGCACCAGGCGCAGCAGCAGAGAGGTGGCCACAGATGGAGTTCTAAGAAGGAAGCCTTAAGACGGTTCCTTGAGGATGAGGAGATGTTTTCTAGGTATGGTGAAGGGCAGGTCTGAGCAAATGGAACAGTATGTGCAGGGGTGCCCAATGTGGCATCTTGTGAAGACCATATGGCCTCCATCAATGGGAATGGATTTCTGACAGCCAGGAATCCCAATAAGTCACAGGGAAGAGACTGCCTTTTATCACCCAGTTGGCTAACCACCTCCAGGACTCATTACCTCCTTCCCCTCCCCTCTGCCTTCAGCCTCTCCTCCATGTATGTCTGGCCCATCTCCATTCAAGTCTAGGCTCACTGGAAGGAACCTCCTGACGTCATTAGCCTGCAGTTTCTTCTGAAGGCCATAGGCTCCCATCTTGGTTACCGTGGCAACCGTGGGGGTCAGGCGCCCCCCCCCCCCCCCCCCGCCCGCCCGTGAGCCAGCCGGCTGTCCCTGGCAGATGGCGTCATTGTGGCGAATCAAAGGCTCTTGTCACAGGACAGCAGATGTGGGGATGACGTGCACTCTCGCAAACACACACACACACACACACACACACATACACACACACACACACACACACACACCCGCACAAAGGGCTGGGGAGCCTCCAAGGGCCGGGTGGGGCCCGGATGGAGTGGGGACACCTGCTGTGATGTCTCTTTCTCTCTCTTTAAAATCAAACACTTGTGCTTAAAGCCCCCACACCCACATGGGGGCCTCTGCAAATAGCTCCTCAGAGGGACTGCCAAAGAGGAGGCTTAGGCCAGGACGTGGCCATGTGGCGGCTGCAAGGCTGCAGGGGCAGCTGTGGGTGGGCTGGAATGAAGGGTAGGTGCAGCCAAGGGTGTGGATGTGGAGGGGAGAGGCAGGTGGGGCTTGTTGATGCATTTCATTTGTAAGGGCAAGGTGCCTGGCTTCCTCGCGGTTACCCTACCATGATCTCATGATCTGTAAAGGACCTGTTCATGGGGAACCTGAACGGAGGAAGGGTCCTCTTCCTGGAAGGTTTCCCCAGGCTGAATGGGGCACCTTGCTCAGACCTCTTTTTTATGCTGGTCCAGAAAATTCCCCCACAGAGGGAATAAACAGATGGTATTTAACATGCAAGTAATCCCCTTCAAAATGCCCCCTCCCACACATGTACACTTGTCCCCTGCCACTTGCTGAAGCACTTTTTTTTGAGATTGTCTTCAAGTGGGAAGTGGTGACAGATTGGATGGCTTCGGGGGCGTCACCTTTCTTTCCATGTGTGTTCTCTTCTATTTGGGGGAACAGCCAGAAATCACAAGTGCCAAATAAGGCCAATATGGCCATGACAGTTTTTAACCACCAAAGAGTCTGGGCTGGACTCCCGTGAAGCTGCCGGGATAGTTGAATTACATATACTCCTTCCATGTGCTCCTTGCTAGTGAATTGATCCCCGAAACTTTAGAGTGTGCTCTATAGTTGCCAAGCTCTGATGGGCCCAGGTCTGAGTTCTTCTGTGTCCCTAGCATCCAGCACAGAGGGGGTTCACCAACATACAAGGGCCAGCTGCTTGAAGAAGGGCTCATAGCCATGCTTATTATGTGAGGGGTAACTACAGTTAGTTCTTTTACCCCCCTGCCAAGGTCGATGATGTCATTCCTCCTTTATATATGAATTAACTGAGGCCTACATTGGAGAAGGAACTCATCCAAGATCATACAGCCAGCAGATGGCAAGACTGGGACTCGATTTCCAAGTCCACCTTGGCTACATCCCCCACCCCCACCCTCCACCCCCAGCTTGGGAGCCTCCATCCTCAAACACAGGGACTCTCAAGGATGTTCAGCATCAGCCCCCTCCCAAACCATGGAGTCTTCTGGTAGACGCCAGGATCCTTTGATACCATGGCTTCCCTGCTGGGAATCAAGATGAAAATATAGCAGTAAACAAGTGGATACTGTGAGCGTATTTGATCAAATCATAGTCACACATACAGAAACTACAAAAAAACTACAAACAGTCCATCTAAGACTGAGTGATTGTTGTTTGCAAGCCTTCCCGCCTACCTTTCAGTCATCACCTCCAGGAATTTGCCATAGACAGAGGCAGCCAGATTGGGGGCGGGGGGGATAAAAAGAACTGAGAAGAGATCAACCTAAAACTGAGACTTTCTTACCTGCCAGGGTGCATGAGTTGGGGAAAGACCGACTTTGTAGAGGGATCGGCACCCCAGCCCTTTCAGAGCCCCCATCTTCTCCTGCTCAGACTTTCCTCATGTGGCCCTCTTTGCCTAGTGCAAGCTTCAGGAAGCCAGGATCTAGTCTTAGTCATCTCTGGTCCCTGACCTGGGACAGCACAGGGGGGTCCTGAGCAGGTGTCATTAGCTGAGAAACAGAACAGAGTGCAAATTAGCAGGAAACATGCCCGGAAAGCCAAAACAAACTTTAGTTCAGATCCTTGGAGATAATCGAGCACAGCTAGATCTTCCAGAAGGTTGTGTAGCAGGGACACAATGGGGTCTGAACGCAGATGTCACCACTGGAACGGAGGCTTCTTGTGCTTGCTTTTCTGAGGCAGATTCTGAGACTTACAAGGAATTTGAGAATGAAGTGGGCTCCATTTCACTAATCATACCTACTCTTTATAGCCACAGCGCTTCTTATATATTTAACAGCATAAACAATGCTGACAGGGACCCCTTATTTCAGGACTTAACCAAATTGAGAGAACACAATATAAAGAAGCATAAAGATGGAGGGGAGCCCTCAAGGTTGGGGGTAAAGC